TAAAAATAATAAATAAACTAGTAAATTGTTATTTTATTAATTAATAATATGAGAATTGGGTTTCCAATGAGAGTCAAAACCCAATTAAAATGAATTATAATAAATTACCTGATTAAGTAAATTTTTAGTGTATTAAGTATATTACAAAGTCTATTTAGAAATGTACTAAAGCTCATTAACAAGGTATCAATATTTGTAATGAATTTGACTCCAATTGAACACCAATATTATTATTGTATTTATAGGTGATTAATTTTATTTTTAAATTTTATTCCCTTTATGTTACAATGAAATAATAGCTGTAAATTTTATATTTTCATGTTATATTAACATTAAAATTTTATGTTTAATATTATAACGGGAGAAAAAAAGAGATGCGATTCATATTTAATTTTAAAATTAATCCTATAGATAGTATAATTTTTATATAAACTTAGACTATGTACTTCGAAAAAACACAATTTATTTTAATTAAAATTTTTACTTTTAAAAATTATTTTCAATCATCTAACTATATTATTTATTTTATTCCAACATAATAGGCGTATACCCAGCGTATGGGTTCGGTGCCAAAATCCCGCCCATAAACACGGTATCCCATCAGTTCGATCAACGGGAATCCCACACAACCCTATGTGATGATGAAGACCAGGGAGTACACCCAATTGCACCCATACATGCATATGAGAAACCATTTGACAGCTTGCAGGCTAAAACTCTTTTTGTCACCCATGTTAATTCAGTTTAGCCATGCTTGGTCATCTAGTTTGTATTATTGTTTACATTATCCTTTGGTACAGAATATTCTTTATATGCCAATGGATTCTGCGCTAAGGGTTAGCTATATATTTTGTTTACCATAATTTGTGTCAGCCCAAGTTCAAGGTCATTTTTCGTTTATAATGAATTGACATGGATACACAAATTATTTTTTAACACTAATTCAATTTAGCAGCTAGTTGTTTAAAAATCTTAAGATTATCTATTTATGAACATAATTATTATATTGTACAGACGTTTATAATATCAAGTTTAGCACGATGATTAATATTTTTATTTTTAACATACTACACAAATAAATTTATTTATAAATCACTATACAGTACAACAATATACATAATTATCAAGGTATAATATATTAGAACAGTTTAGTAAAAACAACTATAATTTGACACATGAAATTATCACAAATTTATTATAAGTATAATATTAATTAATAGCAAATACCATACATATAAAAATTATTACATAACAAGGTAAAAATTATCCCACGCTACTCGCGTTACCCGGCTTAAAGCCTCTACTTTTCATATACCCCGTCAACTGCTCCGGTATCTCATACAACACCTCCCTGGCCAAATCTGCCTGCGACCTAATACTGGGCCCGTTTTTCGCTATAAACCTGTTTATGGGCACAAACTGTACGATATCTCGCTCGGCATACCTCCCATCGACACTAACCCGCACGTCATCCCCGTCCAGCTCGTCCATGGCCTCAAAGTCGGCATTCCCTACGCCGATGATAATGATGGACAGGGGTAGGGATGCCGCCGCCACTATAGCCGATTTGGTGGCGTACATGTCGCTGATTATGCCGTCCGTTATGATAAGTAACACGAAATAGTTGTGTCCGGTTTGGTACTGACGGGCAATGGATGCCGTGTTGTTGATGACGGGGGCGAAGTTTGTGGGCCCGTATAGGGTGACTGATGACAGGGTGGTCCGGTAGTGGCGTAGTATCTCGTCGATCCCGGAACAGTAGGGTTGTGTGGCATTCCCGTTGATCGGGAACTGATGGGATACCGTGTTTAGGGGCGGGATTTTGGCACCGAACCCATACGCTGGGTATACGCCTATTATGTTGGAATAAAATAAATAATATAGTTAGATGATTGAAATAATTTTTTTAATAATTTTAATTTTTATAAATAAAAATATTGTGCTTTTTTAGAAGTACACAGTCTAGGTTTATATAAAAATTGTATTATGTATAAGATTAATTTTAAAATTAAATATGAATTACGCCACTTCTTTTCTACCCAATATAATATTAAACACAAAATTTTAATGTTATTATAACATGAAAATATAAAATTTACAGCTATTATTTCATTGTAACATAAAGGGAATAAAATTTTAAAATAAAGTTAAACACCTATTAATACAATAATAATATTGGTTGTTCAATTGGAGTCAAGTTCATTACAAATATCGATACCTTGTTAATAAGCTTTAGTACATTTCTAAATAGACTTTGTAATATACTTAATAAACTAAAAATTACTTAAACAGGTAATTTATTATAATGCATTTAAATTGGGATTTGACTCCCATTGGAAACCCAATTCTCATATAATTAATAAATAAAATAACAATTTACTAGTTTATTAATTATTTTTACCTACATTATTTTACTATTAATAAGTATGTTAATAGACTACGATTTAAATTTAAATTCAACACATACAAATAATAATTTATTTACTATAACAAAAATTAAATACTATTTTCGCATACCGTTTCTATTATAGACAGCAATGATATCTCCCACGGCTCTCAACGCAATTTCATAGCAATTAGGCTTTCCGTGAAAATCGAAATAATGCAATGAATTGGGGTCGCGGGGGTCGCCATTGGACGCCGTGAGGTCTATGGCCACCGCGAAGTGCAGTTGAGTCCCACCCCTGATGTAGTCCAGGAACGAGAGCTCCTCTTCCACTCTTACATTGCTTAACACTATTCGCCCGGAATTACGGTATGAATGGCTTCGTTGAGCCCTTTTTCGGTTTATTATCTGTTTATTGGATTTAATTATTGTAATTGTTTTAGTGATAAATATGAAAGTATTTTATTATTATTTTTAGTTAAGTTAAATGATTATTTTAAAATATAACATTGGTTAATTATTTTAAAATAATTGATTTAAATATAAATGAATTTAAATATTAAAATAGTGTTACTTTGCGTACTGTAAATTATAATTATAATTTAAATATTTATAAATATAATTTTAAAAATGAATTATAATTGGACTAGATGAAAATCCGTAATAGTCAACTTAAATATCATAAATTTTTGTTTACTACTATTTAATACTAAAATATATTTTGAAATCACTTATTATAACCAGTACATTACACACGATAAATATATGATAGTTGCTTTCATAAATTATTTTAATTCATAATTTTGTTTTACAAAAATCTAAAAAATAATTTTATACGCCTAGCGACTGTAAATAATTTTTATAAACAATTAATCACTTATCATATGTTTTATAATTATAACGTTGGTATAAATAACACTATTTTAATATGTTATAATAACTTTATTAAAATAATTTTTATACAATTAACTCACATCATAGCAGTTCTCAGCACCGGGACCTTTCACCAGCCTGGACAGGGACGTGAAACAATTACCCACCAACTTATGCTGGCCATTAAACCGATCATCGTACACCTCTATACGGATAGCCCTGTCGTAATCGCCGTTGCAAAGTGTCCTAGCTCGCAGTACGATAGGCTGCCACTGCTTATTATTACGAAAGTTTTTGTGCAGGCATTCCGTCTTATGGACGACTGTCCACGTGCTGTCCTCGTTAGCCCTACCGAACACTAGGAACGGGTCCAGTCGTGACCAAAATCGGGTCCTTTTCAGTCCCTGCGCTTTGAACGACATGTGTATGACTTGTTTACATTCGGCCACCTCTTCCACCACTAGTAGTATTTGACCGCAATTTTTACGCCCCTTTACGCCGGACAGGGGGGCCGTGAACTGGCGGCCCTGATGGGCCACGATCTCCGCTAACGTAGTCTCAAAATGGCCCAAAAAATCGTTGTTCGTGTCGTATATCTCGATACTTCCTACGGGTTTGTCATAAAATGTTTGAATTATTTTAAATATATTAGTTTAATAGTATTATGGTAAGTTCATATGGATAGCGTGATAAGGGTAAAATATATACTTTATAATTAAGTTAAGTTAAAGATCCATAAAATAATTACTTAAAATCAGTTAAATTTAAAAAAAATTTGTTTGTGATTACAGTCTTGGATGTTATAATCTTAATTAATTGTGATATATAATAATTAGTGTTTAAATAATTTGATTAACCCACACTATGTAATACATAGATATTATCGTTTTTTAATAAGGATATATTTTATTAATTTATAAATATTTCGTATATTTCGATACGTCATATGAATTTTTAATAAAAATATTTTTATAGCTAGATTTTATTGACCAGTGTAAAATAACTGTTTGTTAAACAAAATTTTAAAATGAAGGATTAGTTTCTGGTTGTTGCAATTTACAATTAAGAATACATTCAATTAAACATCTAAATAATATTTGTTAATTATTACAGTTTTTCAAATTAAATTATTAATAATAAAGGTTTTACTCATTGTTTGATTATCTTGCTCAATGTACTAGCTATAATATTATATACTAACGTTTTCTAAATATTTTAATGCTTATACTGACAACATGTCTAAAATTCAAAATATTATTTTAAGTAATAATTTATATTGTGTGCAAAATCGTAAATATTTTATGAGTTCATTATTTATTCATAATAATAACAAATAGTTGTCAGCAATACTAGAAACACCCTTTTCTTAAATTTACAAATAGTACGGTATATTAATAATTATTTTTAATTTTGATAATTGTTTCACAAACTTCAAAAAAAATGTCATGTTAACTAATTAATAATTAATATTTTTAATAAATATTTTTCTGTCTTGTTTATAAAAAAATATGACATTCAATGCACAATACTATACGTGGGTTTATAGTGCGTGGGTTGTATAGCTCTCTCAAGTCGAGAGAGAGAGAGAGAGAGAGAGAGAGAGCACTCATAATATATAGTAATAAAGGAATTCATACCTAATTTAATTTTCGGATCGATATCCCAGACCTCAAATTTTAGTCTCTGTACGCATTCAAAGCTATACGACAATTGAAAACGCTTCACGAAATCGGGATTCAAATTGTCCAAGATCATCTCAGTCCTACCCAGCTCAAAATACCTGTCCTGCCAGTCATTTTTCATGTACACAATGACCTGGGGGTCACTCCGGGACAGTATGTCAGCGTTTATGAGGTTACGACAGGCTATGGACAGCTCGACCTGAGACGTAGGCATCTCCGCCTGTCCGGTGCCGCCCACTGGCATAGGGGCCGACGGCATAGTACTTGTCGTGTAGGGCACCGGTAGGTTCGGGTAGTGGACGGGTGTGGACTTGGATGTCGAGCACTGGGAGGCGGCTGGCGATGAGAACGGATGCAAACTGGCGTTAGTTTCGCACATTTTATGGCAAAATAATGTTTTTGTTTTTGTTATGACTTTTAGTTTATTATTTTTATCAACAAATGATAAAAGTTTTAATTAAATGACTTTTGTTATAATCATTATGATGAGCAAATATTTGCTATTTGTAATATTACCTTTCTTATTTTTTACGTCTATCACAAGTCAATGCTGCTAATCATTATGATATTTATATTACTTATTTTATTATAACATGTTCAAATTGATTGCACATAGTATAGTAATTTTATAATGAATTGTTTATTATTTATTCAGTAACTCACTGGTTTGCTAAAAGGTCACAGGTATATTTATTTACACATATTATTATTTATGTTAAGCAATTTCACTTTATTACAATTGTACTAGCAATTTTATTATTTATTAATTACTAACAATACAACCGAAATAATTATTTACATTTAATATTCTTACGGAATATTCAGTAAAAAATAATAATATTACATATAATTAAGTATTGAATGTATAATGTGTTTGTCATAACAAATGAACACAAATATTTGAATTGTATTGTAATATAGTGTTTGTGTTCAAAGGCATTATCCATGTATTTATAGCCATCAAGTGATGTGCACTTAGAGTCGGCTCCGGGAGTCTGAGCTAAGACTATTGTGTCTGGGGTTGCCATGGATACCAGAGGGATCGGCATGTGTGATGAAATCCAGTGTCAATCCTTAAGCATTTCAGGTTTCAAATGAAATATTTTAAGTTTATAAATATATTTTTATTATTGCATTTTAATGTAAATCTTGTTTTTTCAGTTAACAAGGTTAAATATTTCAATGCTAAATAAATTTTATGTTATTTGAATTATAAATTATTAGTGTAATATTTTATAACAAGTTACATAACTTGTTTAGTATATTATTAATATTTTTGTTATTGACATAATATTTATTAACTGTATGTATATTTTATAAATTATTAAATTTTTATTTTCCATTGTATAAATCTTGAATTATTTATATAATTATACCAAATTGTTTTAACACATGTCAATTTGTGATATTTGTATAACCTTTTAATCCATAACCTTTTAGCTATTTTTAGTGCAAACATTTTATGATATAATTTATTGATTAAGAATTGCACGATATTTATAATACACTTAATGTGTGTTTACACGACATTTGGCTTTTCCTTGTAATTTATTTTAATGACAAAAAATATGTTAGCAATTGAATTAAAATTTATTAATAGATGTTTTTTATTAAATAATAAACTTTACTTAAAATACAACTTATATTTAGATAATTTTGTTTAGCAAATAGTTTTAAAACAATAAAAACATTTAGCATAGCTGACATTTTAATGCATTAAAATGTTTATACAGAATATTGTAATAAAAAATATTCAAATATAGTCTAAAAATAAATGTACACTTTACATGAGCATTTAAAGTATTATTTTATTATAACTATTATTAATTGAAAAGTACATGGGTAATCCAATTTTATTTCATAAAACAAACCATATTTTATAATAACCTTATATACGCTTAAAAATGAGTTATAATTCAGAGATATATTTATTCGCCGTTTATATTGAATCCAATAAACATGTAATTTTATATCCAATAAATGCCTGTCCATTCAATCAGCACCGGGTGTTTTTAACGTCCATATCCATAGCCACGACCAAAGTGTTGACCACGTATTGGCCCACGGTGTACAGGGCGCCGGTAGCCATAACCTGGTCGGGCATAGCCGTAGCCAACCTGGGCCTCAACGGTAGCCATAATGACAGCGATTATACAAAACACTAAAACCAAGAGTTTATTCATTGTTTTCAGAAATTTTTTATTCAATGATAACAAAAAATTCTTGACTTTTTGTGTCAATATGTCTACACTTTATATACAAAAATATTTGTAAAATTGATGTTTTTTTATAAAATAAATTCCGGGAAATGGATTCTGGAGGGGAAGGTGTGGATGGATATAAAGATTAGGGCAAAAAAAGTTTGTAAACTTTTTTGTTTTAATTTAATCATAAGTTTTTGTAACACTTTTGTTGGAGTACGTGATAGGATGTGTGATAGGATTGACAGGATTTTTACATAAAAAATATTACAAAATAAATTAAATCCTTTATGAATGTACTTTTTATAATATATTATTTTATTAAATATAGATTTAATTTTTAAAATGTATTACACAAATTAAAAATTTACATTAAATCTGAAATTTTCTAGAATTATAATTATATTCTGAGTTGCATACTGTATTAATTGCAATGTATAAATTTAGCTGGATTAATTTTAAAACGTGAATGCATACTTAATTTATTTTAATTGTTTCAAAAGTAATGATGTAAATATATTTAAATTTTATTATTTTATGCAGTATAAACACCATTGTATTTATTGCATACTGATCATGTAAAACATTGAAGTATAAATAGACAAAATAGTGCAAATATAGTGCAAATTATGTAACCAATTGTAGAAATTAAATTAATTCATAAGTAAACATATTGTTTATATAAAAATATTATTATAAATAAATTAATTCAAACTACTCGCCCGGTTACTAACAACAAAAATAATAACTTAATGTTTAGTTTATATTCAAGAGTGCAAATAAACATAAAAAACTTTTAGTACATTTATTAAGACTTTCACTTATAATATAATAGTATTAAGTTTAAACATGGACAGAAAATTATATACTAGTAAAACTTATTATGCTTTCAATAAGCCAAAGGCTAAACCTAAACCAATATTTCTATACATAATTATCTATTACTACAGACTAATTGGCATCACATTTGGTGGACTAACATTTAATGATCAAGGTATTCAATATAGCAGATCTTTGGATATATTTGGCTATTTATGTACCATAGTTCATATTATCATGACAATATGGTCGTATATAAGATCATTTACGTCATATTACATGATTGCTATAAAGCAGACTGGTCATTTATTCATATATTATTCATGGATATGCTTTGGTTTACTATGGTCAATTACTATTATCATAAATATAATAGTCATACAATTTTATGGCTTTAAGGTGTTTGAAAAATTTTTCGGCCATAGAATTAAAGGTTTGTAACATTTTCCCAATACATTGCATGAATAAAATTTACTTATAAAATCTAACATGTAAGCTAGATCATATGAACACTTGTTTGATAATAATAATCCATGGCTTAAAATGCTCATTAAGTTACCTTGTAATAATTTTATATTTTGTTAAAAAGTTATGATTCATTAAATAACAAATTAACAAATGTTGTTATTTTATAACTAATATACAAATGAAAAAACATAAAATTATAATAGTGTTTTTTAGATTAAAAGAAATTATAAATAAAAGTCATGTTTAAACATGTTTGTTGCAAATAACCTTATTTTAAATAATAGGTATAATACTTATAATATTAATTACAGTTTTACTATCTAAGCAGGCATTTATTTAAAAAACAATAAATTAGTATTATATTCATTTATTTTATTCTTAACACTATGAAAATTATTACTTATTATAGGTATAGTAAATTGTAATTTCTAACATTTTTAACAATTTAAATTAAACCATTTAAGATAATTACCGGTATATCCTAATAAATCACAATTAAATACAAGTTTGCAAAATATAATTTAATCATTTCAGATAAAAAGATACTCTACCTTGCTGTCATATTTTGGTTTAGTCACATATTTGGCGGTTATGTATTCTTGGGGTATCAAATATATGCCTATGGGTGGATAAGTGTCGAGGTCATGGCTATAAGAGCTGGTGAAACCATATTCAAAATACCCATACTATACATCATAAGCATAACTACCTGTGCCGTGTCGTTGGCGGTGTCACAAACTTTAAAGTCGTGGCAATTGACTATTGAAAGGGATAAAAGGCCCAAGACTGTTTGTTATATTAGAAAGTCATTTGCTGAGTTACGGAGCAATATCTACGTTATTGATGGAAAAATGATGCTGGTAAATAATTATAAATAATAATAATTTATGGAGCTAAATTTAGTTTAAAGTTAAATAATTATAATTAAATACTGAATATAAATTTTGTAAAATTTTTTAATTTGAATTTTTATTTATATTCTAATTTTTTTCATCTACCAGGCTCAAATAGTTGACACATTGACTACAATGATATTTATGATGCTAACAATCTATATTGTAATTGTGAGCGAGGGCATATACGAAATCAATGCATTACGAAGATTACTATTTGGAATATTGATCCAGGTGTTCATTAAACTAAATGTTAGTTGCTTTGTAAATGGCCTGGTTTATGATGAGTCGGAAAAGTTGTTGTCGTGTATGGACTCCGTAGATATTACACGAATGAATACAAATGACCCGGACTTTCGAGAAATACAGCTATTTATGACAATTAGTCGTAGTTTTAAGTGCGGGTTCACTATTGGAGGGATTATGCCTTTCAGAAAAACTACCTTGCTATCGGTAATATTAAATTATTAATTGTTTTGAAATGTTCAATGACATAATAATTAATTTATTAACAGATTTACAGTTTTATACTGACATATAGTGTCATACTTTTCCAAACGGGAGCTTTTGATCAATTTGATAATAAAGGATCAAGCAACAATTAGAATCGCTATTTTAAGGCTGATTTATAAAGCTTATAACAAACATTTAAATTGTAATTCATTAAATATATGCATTTATTTGAACATACCTTTAAATACTGGTGCAATAGGACAGCCTGTTAAACATTATAGTATAATGTTCTTGGTAATTTACATTAAACCTAGTATACTTTGTATTATATAATTATATGAGCGATAGATAGTTGAAGTATGCTCTGCACTATTAATGAGTAATATTAATAATAGTATTATTTAAATAGTTTGTATATTAAATACAGTATACAAACATTTTAATGATACAATTACATTAATAATACTTTCTAATTGAAAATCGTTTAAAATACTATAATATCAAATGTATATAATTTTTAAAAATTTTAACACAAATCCCTTTTTATGTTTACGCCGTTGTCTCCTATTATATGATTTCCCTTAACTTTGTCGGCTAATTGTGCCACTAATAGCTCGCATGCATAATACTAACTATCTATTTATCTAGTTATAATCTACTTGCTATTTATAATAGTAAGTATCTTGTTCATTCTAATATTTATTAACATTAATTTTAAATAAAATATTTGTATTTTTTGTAGCTTATATAAAATTAATGGCAGA